ACACCTATGTACGAGTCATGCGAGTTAAGCAGTATATTGCAGGCCCTGGTCTGCATAGGTCAAGTTAAAGAATACAAGCATAAGAGATAGAGTATATATAAAGGGATTAAAGCGGAGCTTTAATAAATGAATCGGAGATCGAAAGTAAATAGCAAATCGAAAAAAGGAAAAGAGAATCGTATGATAGAATGTGATAGAATGTTCTGTGAATAAGTGAAAGGGTGAATAAGTGAAGAGGTGAAAAGGAAAAGAGTATAACTGTAACAGGAACAGGTAAATGAAGATGCTATCTAGTATCCTGGAAAGGATACTCTTCTGCTAGTAATGAATGGATCCCAGAAGGGAACCTTAGCAATGCCGCTGACACCCTTGTCACATATAAAAAGGCTCGCCGGTTGTAAACCCAGAAGCCATGTCTCTCAAACGCCTCCGCCTCTGCATACTACATATCGAAGAACTCACTGCTGCTATGAACACTGTAGCTGAAGGAAACGCCCACCCATTGTCCCTCCTTGATTATCAGACTGCCACCACCGCTGACCTCACTCATAACGCATCTTCACCAGTGGTTTCTCCACCGTCATCTGACTCTACCCTTACCAACGACTCTACCCTTACCAACTACTTTTTGATTATTGATCAAGTCAAAACCAGCGCTCTTTTTGAATCCGCCCTCACCTCTCAGCAATACACTATAGAAATAGATCGTCTCTTAGGAGAAAGAGGAGCAATATCTAGCAGGCTCATCATCAGAATCATCAGAGATGCCAGTCTCATTGAGCGTACCGCCAATCTTCTTGACGATGAACGTCACAAGACCATATTCCATCACCTTCATATACGCATTCGTAATACTGCAATTCATCTGCTGCCTGATGATACTAGAGATGCTATCAGAGAGGCTATCCACATTGTCACAGAACGAATCACCCTCGACCCAGTCGCACGCCCTCCTTCCCCACATATTGCCATTCCAGTCCCACCACTGGTCCCTGCAGCAACTACCGTTAGCCATCAGAATGATAATATTCCTCCTATTGCTGTACTTGACGTACCACCTTCTCCGTCTCCTACCCCCATCACACCCACCACACGCAGATACCCTGTCCGATGTAGATCATCCCGTATCGCTGCCAAACGAGCCACGTCCGTCTCCCCGCATAAAATGCTCAAACAATCCAGATCCCCTTCCCCACCAGATCAGTCGACCACCATCATTACAGTGAAGACAGCACCAGCTGATAATGTTGTATGTCACAACTGTCGCTCCACCGGACATCATCACAAGAACTGTCCAGCGTACTACTGTTGAGTTTGTAAAGCATATGCGCCTGGACACCTATCGGTCTTTTGTAGAGAGCTGAAAGGAGAAGTGGTCATTCCGCTAGTATGGACTGATCTTGGCTTCTATGAAGCCCTTGCCCGATGGGAGATTGAGCAGGACACAATCTACCATGCCAAAGAATTAGCAGATAGGTCGCTCCCCATCACTGAAGAACAGAATGATTTACTTGACTCAAACTACGACGCTGACCCTATTTACTGGGCTAACCAGGATAACTAAAGTTGGTGACTTTGTTCCTAAACGAGGGGTAATGTTACAGTTACGCCTGCCCCTATTCATTTTCCCCTTTGTTTACCTGTATTACATCGCGACCACTATTGCCGTCGTTAGATGACTCATCTCTTTCATCTGTATTACATCATGATCGCTATCACCGTCACTAGATGACTTATCTCTGACTCGACTTATCTCTGACTCGTCTTATCTCTGACTCGTCTCTGCCTTGTGGTACTTACTATATATACCCGGTCATGTACTCAGTAGATCTTCACTTTAATCTACTAGGTTCTCACCTGAAACATCCTTCACTTAGGACCCCCAATCCTAAGTCATCCGATCCGATATTCAAGCCAAAGACACTCTCTTTGACTTGTCTTACGACCCTTACATTTGTAAGGTCTTGATTCAACTCCAGCCATTACTCCTATCGAGTAGCTGTTGTTGCGACTATCCTAGTTCATAACACTTTTAACAGTTTCAGGTCCACACATAAATGTAATAAGTTCTGTCATGCCTTTGGCTTGCAACCTTTTGATACCTAGAGTTTTAGTACTCAGCACTATTGTTCTTACTGTATATCTGTGCCAATGATTATTCTTGTTCCCTCATGCTGAGGTGATTCTCATAGTATGAACCCTATGTTACTTGTTCAATCGAAAATGTCTGATCAATTTGATGACTGAATCCTGAGTCCAAGTGCAAGCTTATGATGACCAAAGTCAATGGTGTCCATTGTTCAGCATCAGGAGTCCTGGAATGGGTTTGGATGGGTACATGGTGAACCCATGGGTGCATATTCAAATTAGACTACTAGTCAAAAGGATCATGCATGTGGTCTGAGCAGACTCCACCAAACAGGAGAATAGGGATAAAGTATCTAAAACTGCAAGTGTGGTCTAAGCAGAGTCATGACCAAACAACAGTACTGTAGAGATATGCACCTAAGTTCGTCACACCATCACACGCCTAGCGAATTGAACCTATTTTGTGTGACAGTCACACCAATTTTGAGGCCATCGAACCTAAACTGTGACACACAGTAAAAACATGAAAAAAAGTCTGATCTTGTACTGAGTGTTTGCCATGTGTCTGTGCTTGCTACAGCCCCCAGCCTCAACTTCTTCAGACCTATTCACTGTAGATTGAAGCTCTGTGTCATCCACTGGCAGGCTCTGCCTAATGGTCATCGAACCTAAGCACAGTGTGTCACACATCACACACCCCCTGCAAACCTTCAAACCTAACATTCATTTGGTCACACCTCAATAGGGCCGAACCTAAGTGCATATCTCTACAGTAATAGGAAATGTAAACTCACATGGTGCAAGACAAAGCAAGTGGAGAGTTGATTCACAAATTTATTTAATGAGGACAACTAATCTGTGTGACCAACCAGGTGCAAAGGCCTGATCCAAGCCTTCATCATTGCCTCAGTAGCAAAAGCAAGAGGAGAGTTGAATCACAAGGTACAGGGATCGGTCAAGGATGTACAACAATCTAGATAGAAAATGAGCAAAAAAAATGGTTGAAATAGGTGGAGGTGGTGGAAGGGGAAGTGGTGCTCCGCTACTCAGTCTTGGGGCAAGAATGGGCCATACCGGACTTCATAGGGAGGGGAGTTCAAGCAAACCAAAAAGGACACTCACTGAAAGGAAACACCTTCATATCCAGTGGAGCAGTCAGAAATCAAAGAAACAAGAAGTTAAAAGTCCAACTGGAGTTCAGGGCCATCATCTGCAGGCAGGAGCCTCCAGAAGGGATTAAACTGGATCAAGAGAAAGAGGAAATGAACTAGAATTAGACAACAACCGAGGACAGTGAAGAACATGATCACGTGGCCTCAACCTATCACAAAGTCGCTCTACTAGTAGTAGAATATAACTAGGTATACATTAAATAAATTTGAAGAAAGGATAATACTGAAACCAAATACTGATCGGACATTGAAAATCCGTGCGGCATCCCGGGAAGTTGAAGTGTAACCAAACATCCACCATAAGCGAGGGATTCGGGTTTACTGAGGATGAGACGACTCTGTAACCCATTGTCTGATGCTAACTTCCTAGTTGTCCGTCTTCTGTCGCTTTTCAAGATGTAGGACTGCATGCTCAAGTGAAAGCGGCCCCGCTTGAATCGGGTGACCGTTCACGTTTACAATGGCCTGATGGGAACATTAGTATTGAGCGTCGTCCTGGAACATATTCCTGGGTAGATGAAAGCAGTGCATACCACCGTGGGCAAATCGATCATATGCATCGCGGTACGCATTACCCGAGTGCGTTTTGGACCGTGTGCTACGTTCAGTGTCTGTCTGACCCGAGTCACCTATCCCCCGCTTCTGGCTTCCCCCAAGCCATCGGAACGCCTTTGGCACCATGAAAATCCCAAGTATCACACGAGGGTGAGTCTCTATTTCAATTCCTCAGACTTTTCTGTCTATTCCAGATAAAAACCAAGAACGATCTGAACGATCTGATCCCTGCTAAACTTGGGCCCTGCGCATAAAGTCATAAACGCAGGGCCGAAGTTAAGCAGGGAATGGAGGTGAGATGTGAGACTCGAGCAATGGGAGGTTGGGACAAGGATGTTGATGAACAATCAGTTATCCATCAGTTTTGCGCGGGAGCCTGAGGAAATCTGTGATGTTAATACCTTCTCAGTGTCACCTAACCTGTATGTACAGTTCCATCAAGCCACTCATTTTTACATAATGCATGCTGGCTGCACGCTCGTTAAATATGATTGTCGTCTTCGCCCCAGCGTTGTTTCATCACTCGCAGAGATATGTTATCCCTATCGCTCATAACTACACTCATTAACATGGTACTTAGATCTATTCTAGCTTCGTACAAAAAGCAAATATTTTGGCGACATCATGAGTGACATGATCGTAAGTACGTTTGACCAGACTCGGAGGAGTATAGTGACCTTAGAATTGGGACTTTGCCTCCATTCAATAACTGACTTGACATGGTGATGAACGTCTCTCAGTGTCACAGGCTGTATCCAGCAGTAGAAACCAACATTTGTTATCAAAACGCAAATGCCAGTTGTTGCTGACTGACTGACGTGAGTACTACAATCTCACACATGGTATATCATACGATGAAAACATCGATGGAGTCAGCATAAGATGACTCCGGATCCTGATCTCTGGCTAGACGTTTTCCGAGAGCATCTAATAGATGTTAAAACTTAGTTTGAAGTAGGGGACTCTAGACCTTATTACTTAATCGACCGGTGGAGGTGTGAATGAACGAACTTCAAAAATTACAGTACGCAAATCATGTATGAGCAGTGGTAAACAATACAACAAGTAACAGACCCTGGCATGTACGGAAATTAACGATCAACTTGAACAATGGGTAGATTGTAGGAAAGAGATGATATCCAATGCATAATATCCGCCGACGTAGAATCAGAAATATAATCCAAGCTAGAATGTAGCTGTGAAGTTGCGATAAGCCTCCTGCCCAATTACTCCTTCGATTTCACCCCCAGTCTGCGGGGGTGGCATTTTCTCCCTCTTGAACGTCGTGATCTTTTGGAGTCGAGCACGCCAGTTGGTGATGACCTCGACTTCTTTGGTGTCTCGCTCTGTGCGTTCAAACACAGACGCAAAACAATCCGCCAGTAAGCTGAGTTGCCTAACCAGCAAAGGGAGCTGTTCTGCCGATATGAGCTTGAAGTCACCAACAGGTGTAAAGTCACTCATGCCAGAGGCACGTTGGATAGTGACCTTGAAATACTCATTTTCGTGAATGTTATTGGAAAAGGCAGCAATTGCGCCAAGGGAATGGGGTTCGATGACGATGTTCACGAATTGGAACTGAGTGGCAAGCGTGTCAAACTGATAGGGGATTCCGGAGTCATTCCACACGATTCGGACATAGTCATTTCCAATATGACGTTTTTTGTCGACGCAATACTTGTCGTGAGGTTTGGATGGCATCATCGTAGCGGTGTGGTAAAGGACTTGACCTATATCATCCCACCATGCATAGGCGTATTCGCCATCTTCGTCCGAGCTCAGGCCACCCGCATAAACGTCAACTTGACCTCGAAGATTGATGAGTCTGCCAATGCCCTCGAGGAACCTTGTATACGCAGGTGACCCATGGGCGTTCCGTAAAATATCAAGCTCATGTGTCTGGCCAGGTGCAACGTACATGATACCCACTTTATGGGTATCAATCACGGGAATCTGATCCAACGACCGGAAGAGAGCCGGAAGTAATGCTGCATCGACCATCCGCTGGCTAGCGGATTGGTTCCTATCAGGGTAAGGGGAAAGCTGAAGTGCGAAGAAAGCGGGATCGACGGCAACGTATTTTCGACGTTGAGAGGGAGCAGTATGACTCCACACATAGCCAGTGATTGGATCTGGTGCTGGTGGTACAGTTCCACCATCATCCCTTACGACAATGGTTTTGCTCGTG